AGCAGCACGTCAGCAGAAAAAAAGCAGCGCCTGAGGGCTTCTCTTTGGCCGCTTGTCACCTGTCCTATAATAGCTCCAGGTCCCCCGCTTCTGAGTGATGCTATGTCCCTTGAGCACCGAAGCCTTGGTGGGGTGAAGGGGTTCAGGGAATGGCAGGAAGGGAAGAGCATGAACGTAACAGAGGAAAAGATCCGTGAGGGGAAGGGGAGTGGGGTGAAACATTCAGTGAAGGGAGGAGTAAGAAAAAGTTAAAAGGGAGAAAATCCTTTATAAATAGTGGAATTTAACTTTTGGGAGGAGGGAGAGAATTGATGTTTGCTTAGGCATTTGCCCAGGGGGAATGTTTACTCATGGTTTAATAGTCAGAATGAGCTTAGTGTTCAAGTAGAAATGAAGTCATATTCCAGGCAGGAGGTGGGCATGATGGAGTGATGTGCAGGGTGTGTGCTGGGCATGTATGTCTTAGACAAATCATAGGACCACGTATGTGCAGCTAATGCTCTGGATACGTGAACATTGGCATCTGATAGCAGGTTTGTCCCAAGCCGTGCTGTCCCACTTTCTTGATCCTTGTTTTCGAGATGGCTAGTCGGGTTGGGGTGTTTCCTGCGGCCATGGAAAAAGTGAATCTTTTTGGTTCACTTATGACTAGACTCAGTGTGGTTTGGATGCCGAGCTGTGTCTTGGACCTCTGTTGGGTTAGGCTTCTAGAATGTTAGATCACAGAGCCAGAAGCTAAACACACACACACACATCCTTAGAGCTGCAGCTGCTAGGACCAGCTGGGCACTTTCCTGCCACAGGGTCCTTAGGCTTCCTCTTCCTTCTGCCTGAAACTTTTATTCCTTTGTCTTATCCTTTACACCTCAGCTCAAATATCACCTCCAGAGAAATCGTCCTAACCATCCTATCTCAGATAGATCCCCCTGGCATTTCCTCTCTCAGCACCTTCTCGGATACTAATTCTTTGCACGTGTTTCTTGTTTTGTTCTTTGTCTCTTCCTTTGCATCCCTCTAACTCCAAAAAGGTAGGAACTGCATCTCTCTGGCTTACCCTGTCTCTCCTCCACTCTGAACACAGGGTCTGACTCATAAATGGGATTCAACCGTTTGTCAGATGACCGAATCAATAAATGAACTGCTGTGAATTCACATCCCGGACCTTTAACAGTCAAAAACTTGACACTACTGTATTGGGGATCTTATTATTTTAGAATAAGATTCAAGCTGTGGGAAACTCTGTTTGGCTATTTAAGAAGGCTCCCACGCTCACTTTTCCTTCAAAGTGTCCTGAAGGTGGGATGGAAGAGCTTGGGATGTGGCACATTGTGTATTGATTTTTGATCCTCTGGGAAAGGGAGACGAGCCCTCATTTGAACAATTCTGTCTATAAAGTCTCTGGACACCCTTTACATTTTCTCTTGTTTTAGTGTTTGTGCCAACGGTGCGTTTTCACAATCTAGTAACAAGCAATTTTGTACAAATAATGGGAACTACCAGAGACAAGACACTACCTACAGTTATCTAAAGGCTACAGTCTCTGCTGTCAGAGACATGTCCCTTTACAAAGAGAAAATGGTGTCACAGTCACCTACTGGGTAAAGTTGACTCCGCCAGGTCTCTTATTTTAAAAGTGTTACATGGTTTTGTTTTTCTCCTGTGCTTTGTTTCACATACATTCACTCAAGGCGGGAGCACGATAGCCCTACCTCTCAGTACGGCAGTTACAATTGGTCGTCTGTGTTTTATCTACATTCAACCCAATTGACAGGGGAAAAAAATGAAATAGCTTATATATTATCTTCCTATTACTGCTTAACAAATCAGCACAAATTAGAGACTTAAAACAGCACAAATGTATTATCTTGCAGTTTCTATGGTCAGGAGTCTGGGTGTGGTTTGGCTGGATCCTCTGCTCTGGCCGCACAAGGCTGCACTCAGGTGTTGGCCCAAACTCAGATTTTTGGCATAATTCACTTCCTTGTGGTGTAGGACTATGGTCCCCTCTTTTCGCTAGCTGTTGGCTGGGAGCATTCTCAACTTCTAGGGGATGCTCCTCCTCACAAGCAGCTCACAACCTGGTTGTCTGCTTTCTTCCTCTGAGGGTAGTCAGAGAAACTGTTTGTAAAGGGCTCATCTGATTAGGTCAGGCCCACCCCAGATAATCTCCTTTTTGATTAACTTAAAATCAACTGATTCGTTTCCTCATCATGTTGCCCTGCCCCAGATCAGACTGCCTTCTCAGCTGGCTTTCGGCAGCCTCTTCACTGACTCAGTCTTGCTCCTGCTCCAGCCAGCTCTTGAGGCTGCAGCCAGGGTGATCGTTCTAAATCTGATCCTGGCACTGCCTGAGTGGAACCCTTCAGTGGCTCCTTGTTCTTCTCAGGATAAAGTCCAAACTCTGATATGGTTCAAAGGTCCTTCATGATCTGTCCCTCCCCACCCCACTGGCCTCGGCTTTTGGCCCCTCGCTCAGTCCCCCACCCTGCCACCTCACTTGCTGCCCCATTTCTTTCCACCTGGCCAATGCCTCTTTATCTGACCTTATTTCATCTCACCTTAGACTTCACTAGCTCTGGGATGCCTTTCCTGCCTGATCTTCCCAAGACCATAGTGGGGACCTTCCCACAGGCTCTCCATCCCCGCCCCCTTCATTTATGGAATCATAGCAATTACCACAACGCAGGGTAATCACCTATTTAGTCTTCCCAACTAGATTGTAGCTGCCCAAGATCACAAGTTTTAGATTTTTTTTTTTTGTATTCTCTGCATTGAGCAAGGACTCAACAAATGTCCCTTGAATGAATGAATGAATGAATGATGAATGGATGAATGAAAGTATGTGGCTGTGTCAGGGAACACACAGTGATCATACTTTACAAACATCAGCTCTGTTAAGTGACTATGTACCAAGGAACCTGAAAACAAAGCAAGTGATATTCAGACAATCTGGAAAAATTGAGGCCATATGGCAACCTCAGACATAAAATTCCACTGAACTGAAAAGAGCCCTCTCAAGAAGCTCCTGCTTTATAAAAACAGAAAGAGGACCAAGGAATATGGGATTTGACTTGGGAAGAAAGGAAAAATGTGGAGAAAGTATTAATCACCTGAGGAGCGAATTCCCTTTTCATTTTTTTTTTTATGTTTATTTATTTATTTATTAAAAAAATTTTTTTTTCAACCTTTATTTTTGGGACAGAGAGAGACAGAGCATGAACGGGGCAGGGGCAGAGAGAGAGGGAGACACAGAATCGGAAACAGGCTCCAGGCTCTGAGCCATCAGCCCAGAGCCCGACGCGGGGCTCGAACTCCCTGACCGCGAGATCGTGACCTGGCTGAAGTCGGACGCTTAACCGACTGCGCCACCCAGGTGCCCCTATGTTTATTTATTTTGAGAGAGAGCGAGCGAGCAGGGGGAGGGGTGGAGAGAGAGGGAGAGAGAGAGAATCCCAAGCAGGGTCCATGCTGTCAGTGCACAGCCCAATGCAGGGCTGAATCTCATGAACCCTGAGATCATGACCTGAGCCAAAATCAAGAGTCAGACCAATTGAGCTCCTCAGGCACCCTGAGAATTCCTTTTTAAATGGGAAAAGATACATTTTCTTCTATTTTCCTTTTTTTTTTTTTTTTTTTTTTTTTTTTTTTTTCAACGTTTATTTATTTTTGGGACAGAGAGAGACAGAGCATGAACGGGGGAGGGGCAGAGAGAGAGGGAGACACAGAATCAGAAACAGGCTCCAGGCTCTGAGCCATCAGCCCAGAGCCTGACGCGGGGCTCGAACTCCCAGACCGTGAGATCGTGACCTGGCTGAAGTCGGACGCCCAACCGACTGCGCCACCCAGGCGCCCCTCTATTTTCCTTTTGACCACAGATTGAGAGATGGCCAAAGTAACAGAAAAATAAATCATGTGTTAATCCCAGTCTTGACTGGCCTCCTGAAGAGGGTGAATCGTCCCAGTGAAAGCACCTCTTATTTTCTGCTGGGGGTGGGAGTACTCGTTGAGAGGCGCTAAATCACTCGATGTTAGTTAGTTAGTTGGCTAGTTAGAGGCCGGGGTTGGGGGAGGTAGGAGGGGCGGGAGGACATGGAACAAGTAGAGGAAACTGGAGCCTGCCCTGAGGCTGAGCTCTGAAACGGGGTGCATGGGGAAGAACCCTCAGCAAGCCCCAGGCACAAGGGACCTGGAACCCCAACATGCCCAGCGGGAGCTTATGAACTTATGTGCTTGTGACTACACATCTCTTCAAAACCTTTACTAACTTCTTCTTCCTCAGTAACACTTTTAGCACAAATGGGCTCTGGGGAACTCAGCGGGGTGGACAGTGCTGGGTACTGTTGGCACAGGGACAGGACAGAGCCATTCCATAGAGGCGTCTACATTATACTTACAAACCCAGAGAATGTTCTGAAAGATGTATGTTGTGTAAAACGGCCACGTACGAAAGTGAGTCGCAGCGGGACTAGGTATTTGCCTGTGAAATCCTTTTCTTATTAAGAAACTATTGGCTATTGTTGAAATGGTCCTCTGGGATTTCAGAAGACTTAGTCACCCGGGCTTGCTATGGGAACAGCATCAGTGACGAATCATCTCAGTCTTTCGGCCATTCATTCAGAAATCTCCCTTGAGCGTCTGCTATGTTGCAGGCTCGGTGCTAGACTCTGGAGGCAAAGCAGCCAATCAGCCCGAGCTGGTCTCCAGATGCAGCGCGGACTGACACGGAGCCTCCTGGATGCAAACCACAGCCCCAGAATCGGGAAATCTTACTGAATCCTGCTGAGTGTGTGCACCGCCACATCAGAGGGCTAACCCCGGGAACAGAGACCATTTGCAATTGTCGTGAATACGTTTATATTTAAATATGTCCTAGATAATAAAATAGAAAGCATGCTTCATCTGATGGGAGAGCAGGAACAAGCCTTTCTAACGTGTCACCCCAGCGCTGTGGATTTCAGGCAGGGACTCTCTGGGGCCGCTTCGTCTCCTCATCTTCTTCCCTAGCTGACCCGGGGCTGCACTTTCTTTGGTAAGATTCTGCGTCCGTGCCCTGGGCTGGGAACTCTCCTCGTAGGGGTTGCTTGAGGGATGCTTCTCTTGAGATGGAAGTTAACCTGGAAGAAAGAAAGAAGCAACTAGGTGGGGAGAGGAGTCAGTTTTCCATTTCCTGGAATTCCAACTGGGGAAGAACCTGTTTGGACCTGGTTTGACCACACTTCCAGGTCCTGAGGGCAGGGCACTAGGGAGCATTAGCACAGCAGTGGGCCACAGCAGCACCACGGCATCCAGCCTGGCTAACGTTCCCAAGAGGAGGTACATAATCACTGGTGATGACATAGGGTATACCTGGATGAACTTAATATACATTTATTTTATAAGTATGAGAAGAAAATGACATCCACACTTCAAACAACAATTTCACTGATACTGTTGCTTAGGACCAGAGCTATGACGGATGGTTCCATAATAATCCCCTTCATGCCGATGTGTGAATCACAGGTGTTGTGCTCAGGCATGCCAATGAATACCTCACATCTTCAGATCTAAACCTGCTGCCGTAATTGCTTGAAAATATAGATAGTGGAGATGATACAGATTATTCATATGGATTCTTAAATTCCAAATTTCCATGTGCAGTGAACGTGTCCTTTCTGGCATAAGGCTGAAACCTGCCTTCTGTCTGTGGCCTGCAGATGTGAAGACGCTTCTGACTAAAAAGTGTAGGTCTGCGGACTGTGGAACCTTCCTAGGAGGAGGGAGTGGCACAGTGTTCTAACCACATTCCCCTGAGGGATCCCTGGCTTCCAGGCCTTGGAACAGTCTGAGCTGCTGAAGCCAGCTGGGAGTTGAAAAACATGCACGCAAGCTCTCCATGGGGTCATTTTCCACCCCTTCCACGAAAATCCATAGCCAGCTTTTCTGCCAGTTCCCCAAAGTAGAGGAAATCAGAGCTAATTACATCATTACCATTTCTTATACAGTAATTCAGAGACCTAGGAAAAAGAGAGAGAAAGAGAGGGAGAGGGAGGGAGGGGGAGAGAGAGAGAGGGAGAGAGGGAGAGAGAGGGAGAGAGAGGGAGAAGGCAGCAAAATAAAGGAAGGGCAGGACAAGGAAAGGAGCTGACCTCTGGCAGGCTGTGGGGAAAAGCAAAGAGGACACGGGACTCTAGGAGATGGTGTGAAAGAGGCTTCACTGTAACATGAAAACCCTCCAGTAAATAATCCTTTTTTCTTTTTTCTTCCCTTGGCCAGATGGATCTCTGTTTAGAAAAATGAAAAGAGAAAGTGGCTCTACCGTGATCAGCAAATGGATTCTTAGTTGTTTTCCCCTCTGGGTATCATGTCCAAAAGACAACTTTTTTTTCCTCTCTGGGGTATATTTGACATAATGATGGGCTATCTTAATTTACTGAAAGGCTATATCACAAAGAAGTGACATCTTTTGAAGTAGATTACTTAAGAGGCTTCACAGTCGTTTGCACCCGGCATTGAAGAGGGCTTGCCACGCAGGGCGGAATCCACCCATGAGGCTGCCTATCAGCCATTTGACTTTGGGGGAGAACGAGGAAAGGGCTGGAGGCTGGTGCGGGGAGAAAGCTGGCTGAGAAACTGGGGCCAGATAACAGGTTGCTGTGGGAGCTGCCTGATCTGTAAGTGGAAGTAGTTTATAAGGGGCACGAGCTAGGACTAGCAGGAGGAGAGGGGAAAGGGGGAACTATCTAGAAACTTCAGAGGACATAAAGAACTCTCTACTTGGGTCCTCGTGTTAAAACCTGGGTTATGCACCCAGGTTGTGAGCTTAGCATGAGGTCCTTCAACACATTGGCTAAGATGGCAGCCCTGAAGACCCCAGAGAGGTTCCAACGGGGGCTCCACTCGCTCACTGTGTGACTTTGGGCATGTTTCTTCTCTAAGTTTGTTTCCTTGGCCATAAAAGGGAAGACTTACGTGTCCCTGACAGGGATGTGAAGGTTAAATGAGATAGTTCTGGAAAGCTCTCATATAGTGTCTCATACATAGGAACCATTCAGTAAATAGTACCTGTAACTATTGAGGACAACAAGCTACTTGACTGCAGAGTCAACAGAGAAAGGGGTGAGTGGGTCTGCTGGGCTCTAGGGTTGTACAGAGAAGGAACTGGACAGAGCAAGGAGGCCCCAGAGAAGAGCAGACCTGTGGGGAAACAAGGTCTGTAGGTGCTCATTAAATAGAACTGCCTCATTACCTCTTCCTTCCTTGAGAAATCTGAGGACTAGTGTCCATGACCTCTGAGCTTCTTCAGCTCTGGGATCTTAATCTAATATGACCAAAGCTGAAAAGGTCCAGGCAGTAGGTCAAAAACGTTCCTTGCTTCTCGTCCTACCTATAAAAGCCAGCTGTAGCCAGCTGAATACCGGGGAGTAGCTGGCTCTTTGGCCAAGGTGAGTGGAAAGCAAGACTGCCGGGCACACGGGGCACCAGGAGGGGGCAGAGTGCCATCTGGTGGTAGTCCTAGTTGACGGCACAGAGCAGGCAATCCAAGGGAGTGGATCTGGGCAAGGTCTGTGGGATTATAAAGGAGCATTTGTTGAGCACTTTCCCTGTGGAAGTCACTGTACTAAATACTTTATGTGCACTTTCCCATTCCAACCTCTTATAAAGCAGGTGCTGTTCACACCAACTTACAGAGGAAGAAACTGAGGAAGAATGATTAGGTAATTTGTCCAAGGTCTCTGGACAGAAGATAGTACTTTTTAGAAGAAGACAGTGCTTTTCATCACTATGCTATGTGAAACAGAAGAAAGAGAAAAAGCCAAAGGAAGTGGGGAAGGACATAATAGGAGAATGACAGAAAAAAAATAAGCATATGAGAGCAATGACTTTTTTTTTAAGTGAAACAGGGAAGCTCAGCAGTGATTAGAACCATGCAATAGGCTGTTTGTGACTTTGTGTAAGTGATCTTTACAGTGCTCTGTGAACATCAGCCTAACTCACCAGTTTTGGTTCTCCAGGACCCACGGTCACGGTCACTGTCTCTGGGTCGAACCCCGGTGCTGTGGCAGTGACAGTGTAGGTACCTGGAAGCAGTAGCCGGAAGTAATCGCCATGGTCACCTAAAAGTTACAAGAATAGAACTCAGTCTGCTGATTAGAAATCTGCCATTTGGGGCCTTGAGAAGACAAATGATCTGAGGGTTTTAGCTGACCACAAGCTTGAATTTTTTTTAATAGCATGATGAAACTGGCTAAGATCTGAAAGAATCTTAGGCTATTTTATGTAATAAGAGCATGGGCTTCTCAGCTCATGGGAAGTAGAAGTTTCACTGTGCTCTGTACTGAGCACAGCAGTGTGTTTAATTCTAGACCCTGTATTTTAAAACAAACTCATGTCCAGCGAAGGGTCACTGGGAGATATGCTGAAAGATCTATGAATGTTTTGTGTGGTAAAGAAACTACATGAAACTTCTGTTTCAATGTTTGAAAAGCCACTGTGAAGAAATGACATCTACCTAAAAAAATACGAATGAGAACTATGAGTTTAAACTGTAGGAGGAAGATTTTGCTAGAAAGAAGAAAAACTGCTGTGACAAACAGAGCTACTGAAAAAGACATGGATGCTTTGTGAAATCATGAGCACTTAAACAGAGACTGAATGAGCATCCCTGAAACAGCTACACAGTTGTGCAGTGCACAGTCTGAACTGATGGCCATGGTCCTGCACTAATGGACAGGACGGCCCTGGGTTAGAAAGCCAGCCGTCGGTGGTGTTGTATGTATGTAATCTTATATTGAGTCAGAGGGCTGGACTAAATGACCACTGTAGGTCTGATTTGAGAATCCTATTTTTAATATTTCTTCCATCGCCTTCTAAAGGGGAAAATAAAATTCAAAAGAAAGCCTATTTTTCTATGGCAGGGATATACCATTTTGGCTAATGACTTTGTATCTCTTTAGAAACAATTGTGACCATGCCTTTAACATTTAAGTGTATAGCAATGCATAACTGCAATAGTAAATGCAATTAAGAATGAAACAGGGGCGCCTGGGTGGCTCAGTCAGTTAAGCTTCCAACTCTTGATTTTGGCTCAAGTCATGATGAGTTTGAGCCCCACATCAGGCTCCTTGCGGGGCTGCTTAAGATTCTCCCTCTCCCATGGGGCGCCTGGGTGGTGCAGTCGGTTAAGCGTCCGACTTCAGCCAGGTCACGATCTCGCGGTCCGTGAGTTCGAGCCCCGCGTCAGGCTCTGGGCTGATGGCTCAGAGTCTGGAGCCTGTTTCCGATTCTGTGTCTCCCTCTCTCTCTGCCCCTCCCCCGTTCATGCTCTGTCTCTCTCTGTCCCAAAAATAAATAAACGTTGAAAAAAAAAAAAATTTAAAAAAAAAAAAAGATTCTCCCTCTCCCGGGGCGCCTGGGTGGCTCAATTGGTTAAGCCTATGACTCTCAGTTTCGGCTCAAGTCATGATCTCATGGTTTCATGAGTTTGAGCCCCACGTCAGGCTCTGTGCTGACAGTGTGGAGACTGAGATTCTCTCTCTCCCTCTCTCTACCCCTCCCCCCGTTCATGCTGTCTCTGTCTCAAAATAAATTTAAAAAAACTTAAAAAATTAAAAAAGATTCTCCCTTTCCCTCTGCTTGTCCCCCCATCTCTCTCTCAAAAAAATAAAATAAAAAATAAGTTTAAAAAAGAATGAGACACACAATAAATAATAAGGCAGTATCTTCTCTGCCCCCTTTAAATGCCTGTAATTTCTTTTAAAATACTTTAGCAGAAGCAGTGAATTATCATCCATATTTTGGACAGTGTAAGTTACACCCCAGGGGCTGTCATTTTCTTAACTGGGAACTTACACCCAAGAATGGTAAGATAGCATGTATCATAAAGGCCCAATTCCAGATACAGCTATGACTAGGGCTTCGGCTATGTTTATTTGTAATCAATACCAGATGCTTTTCTAAATAGCATAATGAATATTGGCAATGAGTTTCTTCAGTAGTGAAATGAGTAATTTGTTAATTTAGCATAGTGAGTGTTGGAAGTGGGCTCTTATTGGTGGAATTAGCGGTATTCAATATATATTGATTGGCTGGAATGTTTCAAAGACATTCCCTGCCTGTGCATGAATAGGGTATGAAAATCTAGCAAGCCCTGAAGTTCTGAGGGACGCCCAAGGTTTGATCCCTAAACGCAGGTCCAGCCACTGGTATGGAGGATTCTGGTTGCATTGGGGCTTGAACTCACAAACCATGAGATCATAACCTGGGCTGAAATCAAGAGTCGATGCTTAACTGGCTGAGCCACCCAGGTGCTCCCCTGTCCCTGTTTCTATCACCTTTCCTGTACCTACCCCCAGTGTCCTTGACACCCCTGCTAGTCTCGCTGGTGTACAAACTGGCCTCCTGATATGCTGAAAAAAGGTGAGGACATGAAGGCTTCCCTCTCACTCCACCAAGCAGTGGCCACCTACCCGAAGTGACGTCATGGTTAATCCCACTAACAGAAATGACAGCCTCTGCAAGGTTATTATAATTCTCATCAAGCACCATTCCCTTGATGCCCTGGTGTACCTGTAAGAAAGTTTACAGGGCACAGTTAGGACCACAAAACAGGCATCCAGTGTTTGGGAGTCCTCAAAGCTTTCTCATACATTTTTGCCTTTGATCTTCACAAAGATTATGGTAACAGCCGCTTGATTAACTTGGTCTCTCTGTCTTCCTGTTCCCGACAATCTCTTCTCAACAGAGCAAGGTGACCCCTGAGAAAATCTAAGGCAAATCACAACACTAGCCTATTGTCTATCTCTATGGAACTGACTACTGTTGACACTTCATGTAAGTAAAATTATACAATAGTTGTCTTCTTGTGACTGTCTTATTTCTCTTTGCATGATGTCCTCAGAGTTCATTCATGTTGTGGCATGTCTCAGAATTCCCTTCTTTTTTAAGGCTGAAGAATATTCCATTTTATGTCCCTACCACATTTCATTGATCCATTCATCCATCAATGGACACTTGGGCTGCAACCTGGGTTGCTGTTACCTTTTAGCTATTGTGAATAATGCTGATATTAACAAAGATGTGCAAATATCTCTTTGAGATTCTGCTTTCAGTTCTTTTGGATATATGCTCAGAAGTGGGATTGCTGGATCATAGAGGCTATTCTATTAGTAATTTTTGAGGAACCACATACGGCTCTTCATAGTGGTTGCATCATTTCACAGTCCCAGCAACAACACACAGGGGTTCCAATTTTCCGCATCCTTGCCAACGCTTGCTATTGTCTGTCTTTTATTACAATTTTTTTTCTTATTTATAGAAGCCATCTGAATGAGTGTGAGGTGGTATCTCATTGTGTAATTGATCTGCATTTCCCTAACAACCACTTGTTGGGGGCCTAGCACTTCCTGTTGTGCCCACATCAGGGAGCCCCTTCTTCCCTAGATAGCTGCATGATCCTCTCCCTCACCTCCTTTGTGTCCGTTTCAATTCATTTTCTCCATAAGGTTTTCTTCACTACATTTTGCATCTAACATGTTATGAAATATACTTTATTATTTTGTTCATTGTCTATCTCTCCTAACTAAAACATAAGCTATATATGGGCAGGGAAATTTGTCTGCCCATAATCCCTAGCATACAGTACTGTTTCTGACAGATAACTGTGCTCAATAATGTTGAGTGAATAAAATGGCTCAGTAGAAGCAGCCCAGATGTACTGTACGGAGTCAAAGCAGAAGTCAGCACTGAGCCTCACAAAAACCCTTGCTACCATCAGAAAACACATCTCTTTCTGTAACTAGGAAAGTTAAAGAATAGGATTTTACCTGTTCCAAGAATTGGATTAGGGCTTCCCGATTACCCAGCCATTCACGCTGTAATTCCTCTTGGCGGGGAAACTTGTCACAACTCAGTTCCAGTGTGATCTCAAAACAGTTGGTGTGGAGATAGTTAAAGTCTTGCATTCCTGAGGGAAAGAGAGCGGTAGCGGATCTGCAAAACCAAGATCCCACAAATGCCCCACCTCAACTCTTTTTTCTTTTTTTTAATTTTTTTAATGTTTATTTATTTTTGAGAGAGAAAGAGCGTGAGTAGAGGAAGTCCAGAGGGAGAGAGGGAGACACAGAATCTGAAGCAAGCTTCAGGCTCTGAGCCGTTAGTACAGAGCCCAAGAAACATGGGGCTTGAACCTGCAAACTGCGAGATTATGGGGCTTGAACCTGCAAAATGCGAGCTGAAGTTGGACGCTTAACCAGCTGAGCCACCCAGGCGCTCCCCACCTCCACTGTTGTTAACCAAGATTTCTCCTCCACCACCACCACCCTACCCCTCTGTGACCTTCTATTCTACCTCTTGATCTCCATTTATTTTTCTCCTCCATAAAATCTTTCCCCAATTTCCCAGTTTTCTCTCTTCATAAATGCCCATTTTGTTATCACCATCCTCTCCTTTTCTCCATCTCAACGCTTAAATTCACTTCTTGACCTTCTTAGCATTTCCAAAGTCTGCTTTTAGTCATGCCTTGATATTAGACTGCACCTGTACTGATTCTGGGGGGACAGATCTTCTCTCTGGGTGATGATGTTCTTCAGACCCTGGAGCTTAGAGATGAGATAGATATCTTGTTTTCACAACCCTCCTCCTATCTGAGACTGCTGCACTAACCTGAGAGCAGTTAACTCAGGAAAACAGGCCCCTGAAAAAACAGAAGGCAGCTATAGTTCTCTTCCATCTAGTGCTTGTCTGCGTCTATCTTCTACATTATTCAATTGAATCAATTATTTTTTTAATATGTTCCTGATCATTAGAGTGGTGTTTATATCACAAATGTGTTTGGGTTAAAAACTATTCATTTAATCAACTTTTACCTGCTCTAAGTTAATGAACATAAGCAGCTGTTGTAGAAAGAATGGAGAAAGCTGAAGAACAACTGTGACCTCTTACATTGGATCTCTCTCTGCATCAGAATAATCTAGAAGGCTGTGTCCAGCCAAATACAGGTTTCTGGGCCTTAGGTATGGGGTGAGGTCCCCTAATCTGCAGTTCTAACAAGTTCCCAGCTGGTGCCAATGACGCTGGTCCAGAGACCACACTATTGGAACAATCACTTTAATGAACTGAATAACCTTGGAATTGTATCAGCTTATTTTGGGGCAATGATTCTCAGTGGAAGCATGGGCCATGCTTTCTCAGATGATGGAAAAGGGGAGAAAAAAACAAGTACAATTTGGAAAAGTATATTTGAGATTTTAAACGGTGTGGGGGGCACCTATTGCTTTCTTAACGCAAACTAAAAAAAATAAAGTTCAACAACATCTTCTTACCTTGTGTTCAAGCAAGTTGTCAGCCACAAGAAGTCTACCACTTCCCAGTACATGGTGACTCCTTAACCTTCCTCCTTCCCACTTTCCATAGAACCAGCCATCAGTTCAACCCTTACCAGGGAGCTTTCTGTTATCTGGGCTCTGTCTAGGTCAGATTTGAAAGGATAGGAGAGACAGCTGCTAAAACATGATGCCTAAAAGAACCTGGCTTCCTGCTTCAGTCTCTTCCCTATCTTTACGGTCACTGTCAACCAAAGGTTCATAAACAGACTTCTTGCCTCTTGGTGATGGGGAAGGCCCAGAGAATGGAGAGAGAAGCCTCTTGCTCAAGGTTTCTGCTATGCTGTCAGTGGCCAATGTCCATGGCAAACTCCAGCTCACTAAGAGATGGGCAGACAGGGCACAGAGAGCATATATCACAGGAACTGTTGGCATCTAGGCCAGCTCCTCTGGTCATCTGCTGCTCTGTGAGGCATACCTCCATGCTACTTAGAAAAGACCCTAACATCTATAAGCCATGCATTTCCAATGCTTTATGTACATTGTTTTATTGAATTTTCACATCAAAATTATAATGCAAGTATTCTTAAAGTACAGATGAGAAAAAGAGGCAGAGAGGTTAAGTAATTACCCTGAAGCCACATAACTGGTAAATGGGCAAGCTGGGATTCAACCCAATGTACCCTTACAGCCATACTCTTAACCACCTGACTACAGTATTTCCCTCCTATGCCCTAATCTATTATGTAAACCACAAGTTTTAAAGGACCACATAGTGGGACACCTGGGTGGCTCAGTTGGTTGAGTGTCTGACTCTTCATTTCGGCTCAGGTCATGATCTCAAGGTCGTGGGATTGAGCCTCGAGTCAAGCCCTACATCCAGCCCTGCATTGGGCTCCATCCACTCTGAGCATGGAGTCTGCTTGGGACTCTCGCTCTCTCCCTCTGTGCTTCTCCCCTGCTCTCTCTCTCAAATAAAACAAATAAATAATAACAAAAAATAATAAAATAAGAATTAAAAACAAAAAATAATAAAGGACCACAAGGTATCCCTACCTTCATTTTAAAGAATCAGAACATGACATTAAATGCCAACTTAAGACTTCTCCATTGCTCAGATCTCTACTTGAATGCAAAATTCTATAGTATTCCTGTTGTTTCCCTGAGAAAAAGTGATAATTTAGGAGAGATGAGCCCTATTCCACCTCAACTTAAAGCACTGTTGTACCCAGGACTCTTCTTACCCTTGCTGAGAGAATACCAGGAGGCCCCATTGGTGATGCCGTCTGGGAAGTAATCCCCACAGTTCCATCCTTGGTGCATCCATCCATGTGCGTAGGAGTACACCTTGGCCAGCTGTGGGTAAAGCGGATGGAGAACGACCTGAGTGCTCCCGACTCCTCGGCAATGCTCACACTTAGAAGTAGGGTGATACCACGAAGCCCCACCCTGTATAAACAACTCATTACTTGCTTTAGTGAAAGAAAATACCAGCAGGCATAGGGAGAAGGGATGTGTGTGTGTGTGTGTGTGTGTGTGTGTGTGTGTGTGTGTGTGTTGGACTAGAGTTAGGAGAACTGTGTTCTGATTTTTCCACCTGCCTGGGGATAAGTTTCAAGTGCAAAGTGAGGGGTGACACGAGGTGACATATAAACTCCCTTCTAGGTGTACCATATTCTAGCTTAATTTTATAAAACAAGGAGCAAGTAAAATAGGCCTTTACCATGAAAAGAATTACAGTAGAACCCTCTACCCTCTACCCATGGTCTCCGTTACTTGTGGTCAACTCGGGTCTGGAAGCAGATGATCCCCCTTCTGACAACATGTCAGAGGGTCAGTAGTAGCCTAACACTAGATCACAATGTCATTCCCCTTTATCTCACCACATAGGCATTTTATCATCTTGTATCATCACAAGAAGGGTGAGTATAACACAGTAAGATGTTTTGAGAGAAATTCATTTAACTTTTATTATAACTTATACATAACTATAGCATGTCATTCACATACTTTTTATTATAATATATTGTTATGATTGCTTTATTTTATTATTAGTTATTATTGTTAATCTCTTACCGCACCTAATTTGCAAATTAAACTTTGTCTCAGGTATGTATAGGAAAAAATTATATATAGGGTTCAGTACTATTGCAGCTTCAGGCAGTCACTGGGGGCCTTGGAACACATCTCCCATGGATAAGGGGGGAATACTGTATATATTAGGTGTGAGATGTGTGTGTTGGGGGAAGAGGAATATATGCGGAATCTCTATAATTCCCTTTGAGTGCTACTTTATAACAGTGGAAAAAGGAGATTACTAGAGAAAGTTATAGTAATCTATTTTCTTTGCAAAGCAATAACTGGTGTTATTCTCTATGGAATTCATTAATTGATGAATTGATAATTAATGTTTATTATTTGTATCAATTATACATTACTACTAATATATTAACTATAAAATAATCTGTTGATTTTAATCTCTTGATTTTATTTGAACTATTAGGTAAACATTTTTTCATGCACATGGTCTATTTTTCATTAACATAGCCATATTACCATAACCTTGTAAATCAGACCCCCTAAATCCTCTCCTGAGTCCCACATTCCTCTGGCCAGACAAGCTGCCATTCTGCATACCTTCTGGAAAAGCTTGTCATCGGGTGTGGGGGTATTGGCAGTGCGGCGCACCCCTCGGACCCGATGCTCCAGGGACTTGTCATATGGATAATTGGCCACCACTGCTCCTCCGTGGAGATTGGCTGAAAGAACAAAGTTGAAGGAGCGGATCCAGTGGATCACAGCCTCAGTCTCGGGCTCCACCTGTGGACAGACGAGGGGCTGGCAGTGAAGCTGCAACCGGAGGTGCCATCCAAATGAGTTTGTCAGGAAGTGGCCCGAGAGGATAGTACGTCTGAATAAAACAAAGAGTGTCCTCCTGGATATGAGAAGAGGAGATGGGAAAACTCTGGTCTTTTGCAAAATAGTTTGAAATTTTTAAGTGGAAGGATGCCTGGGTGGCTTAGTCAGTTAAAGCATCCAACTCCTGGGGCGCCTGGGTGGCGCAGTCGGTTAAGCATCTGACTTCAGCCAGGTCACGATCTCGCGCTCCGTGAGTTCGAGCCCCGTGTCAGGCTCTGGGCTGATGTTTCCGATTCTGTGTCTCCCTCTCTCTCTGCCTCTCCCCCGTTCATGCTCTGTCTCTCTCTGTCCCAAAAATAAAATAAAAAACGTTGAAAATAAAGCATCCAACTCCTGATTTTGGCTCAGGTCATGCATGACCTCACGGTTCATGGGTTTGAGCCCTGTGTCGGGCTCCATGCTGACAGTGTGGAGCCTGCTTGGGACCCTCTCTCTCCCCCTCTCTGCCCCTCCCCCACTCATGCTCACTTGCTTTCTGTCTCTAAATAAATAAATAAACTTAAAAAAATAAAAGTTAAAATTAAAAAAAAAGTAGATGGACTCTTTTTCAAAATGACATTAAAATTGGGATGTAGAATCCCAACATACAAAGTAGCTAAAGGGAGAGCATTTAGGGAGGTGAAACTATGGTATATGATACTGTAACAGTGGACAAATGCCACAGACCATAGAATGTATACCATGAAGAGTGAGCACTAATGCAAACTATGGACTTGGGTGACAATGATGGGTCAAGGTAGTTCATCAAATGTAACAAATTACCACTCTGGCTGTGGGATGTGAACAATGGGAAGCAGGGAGTATATGGGGACTCTGGACTTCCCCTCAATTTTGTTGTGAACCTAAAACTGCTATAAAAAAATAAAGTCTCTTGGGGCGTCTGGGTGGCTCAGTCGGTTAAGCGTCCAACTTTGGCTCTGGTCATGATCTTGTGGTTTGTGAGTTCGAGCCCTGCGTCAGGCTCTGTGCTGACAGCTCGGAGCCTGGAGCCTGGAGCCTGCAGCCTGCTTTGGATTCTGTGTCTCCCTCTCTCTGACCCTCCCCCATTCATGCTCTGTCTCTCTCTGTCTCAAAAATAAATAAACGTTAAAAAAAATTAAAAAAAATAAAGTCTCTTATTGAGGACTCATCTCAGCAGGCACAACTCGCGGCTGCTGAGAAACTGGAAGTTCAAGATGAAGCTGTCTCAGGCATTCAAGAAGACACACAGACTCCAACTGTACAAGAGCAGAGTAAAGAAGAAGTTGATGAAATAGGTGTGGCAATTAAGGACATAGAACTGGTCATGTCACAAGCAAATGTGTCAAGAGCAAAGGCAGTCCCAGCCCTGAAGAGCAACAGTAATGACGTTGTAAATGCTATTACGGAATTAACAATGTAACCATCTGAAAACAAGAAACTTTTTTTGTTGTTTCAAAAGAATAGCTGCAGCTTGGTTTGGAATTTTGTACTGTTTCTATCATTAATAAGTTATGACTTCTTCTTGGATGAGAAGAGAGAAAGAGAGAGAGGTTTGAAGAGGGTGGCATGGCTGGAGAGCTCAGGGCCCCGGCTTGGCTTCTTTCTGACAGCAAGGAAGGGATTCTCCAATTTACCCATTGCTCCAGTGGCTTCTGAAGCACCTCTGCAGATATTAAGGGCTCTAGTAAATACATCTGGGAAGCTGGTTGACACAAATGATTTTCAACCTCCTCTTTACACTACTGCATCTGCTGTAATGTTGACAAGTAGAACACACTCCTGTGGTCATATTCAAATTTCATGGATTAGATATAGTATGATACGGGCCAGTCTTGCCTAAGTAGTTGAATTCCACCCTCTTGATTGCATATTATGTTCCTAGTGAGTGGCAGCATTCTAAAGAAAGCCGTGAATCTACTTGGATTTGCAGTACAAGTAAATAATTTACAGTCTTCAGTGTTTTCCCTCCTCTCAGAATGGATTTGCTTAGAGGTTATGTGGTGTTAATGTGTTAATGGCTCCCCTTGGACTAGCAGTCAGCTGAGAAGGCCCCCATCTTTGCCATTCCTGAGGGACTGGATGAATAGGGTTGAGTCTTGCCCGATCAAAATGGATAAGATACCAAAGGCACCAGTCCTGCTCTGTGACCAGGGCTCAGATCCTTTGAAGCAGCCCTTTCTCCATGTCCTAAGCCACCATCCATCAGCATGAGGCCAGCTTCTCACTGCTCCTCTCCCATCAGGAGCAAGAAGACTTACTTTTCATTGCCTTTTTTTCTTCTAATATGGAGAAAAAGGAGCAGTGGAAGTCTAATTACTATTGGCTCAATTACCTTATTTTACTTGGACAAGTTTAATAAATCAGGACATCCTTCCGGCTAGATATGCCAACTACTACAAAGTTAGTTTTGACTTATTATTTACTTGAGCCAAGGGCATAGTTGCTATCTGAAATCTAAACTTGTTAGCAATGACTCTGCCTCATTTTCAAGGGGGAAAAACTGAGACTATTCTTTCTGGAAACTCCCAATAGAAAGCCTTACACCTGCAATCTCTAAGTTTAAATATTCACAAGTAGAATGTTTAAAGTACCTTATACAGTAGAAGGAACAGGGTGGTGGTGGGAATGCTCTGAGAACCACAGTGGTTATTCCCAGGAGCACTCGCATTACTATGGGTGGCATTCCAGGCCTCCAGGCCTGGGTGCATCAGCTGGGCTCCTCAGATTGAGAGTAAGGGAAATGACAGTAAGGTAAAGCAGCTGAGAGTTAGACAGAAAGGGCAGAGGAAAACTGTAGGAGTGAGCTGCCTGAGCTTCCTTCTGTAGCTAATTGTTGGTGAGCACACAGTTCATCACATGTAAGAGAGATTTATCTACAGAATGCTAGAGTCCTCTTTTGATGGGATAATGTGGTAGAAAGAATGTTGCCTTAGGAATCAGAAGGCCTGGGTTTTAATCCTGAGTCCACCAATTACTAGCTGTGTAGGTGTAAGCCAGGGAAGGATCTCAGCCCTGCTTCGTATGTTCACTTCACAGCATTACAACGATCAGCTGAAACACTGGCTAAGTAAGCATTTTGTAAAATGGTAAAGTACTGCACAATGGTATGATAACCGCTTTCACTTCACTACCACTAACATCAAACAGCATGTGCTCTGGGAGGGCCTCTTTGCTGGGGGAGAGAGTGAATACAAAGAGCGGAAGATATAGTTCTTGCCGCTCTACACAGATTAACACAGAGTTGAGTGGATGCTTAATTCGTGCTTGTTTAATTGATGTGGAGATTGCGAGAAACGATTCCAGAAGCTGATTTACCCGCTTTGGCATGAACATTTCATCTCCTACCTGACTCTTCCAGTTGTCTGGGAGGGGCAGGTGGTGGTTAGGGCCTCCGTGTTTCTCATTGTAGTAGACATAGGTGTTGAGGTCGGGGAAGTTTCGGTTCAGGTCCACTCCATTTGCGTTGTTCCTGCCAACCAGGTATCCAGAAATGTCTGCGCCCTAGCAGGAAAATGGAGAAACGAGAAAGGAAGATTTCAGACTGGATCCTATATTTGAAGTACACTGCATAGTTTTGGCGGGGGGGGGGGGGGGGGGGGCGCATTAATCTATCAAATGATGCACCATTTTCTCCATTAATTTATCCAAAGTCCCAGCGGTGGGGTTCACATTTCCCTGTAAACCACGTGTCGATGGTAGAGATCCCAGGAGACATTCTGACAAGACTGGATGTTTCAGGATAATGGGAACCCCTGTTTTTAAAATATGGCTTTATTGAGGTGTAATTTACATACCATAAAACTCACCCATTTTAAGTGCACAATTCAATGAATTCTAGTTCCCACTGAGAAGAGTCGTGTGAGCATCGGCATAATCAAACTTTGAAGTATTTCTAACGCCCTGAAAGGAGACCTCACGCCCATTCAATCACTCCTCATTCTTAGTCCAGCCCTAGGTAATCACTCTCTGTCTCCCTAGATTTGCCTTTTCTGGTCATTTCAGTAAGTGGGATCACACACTTCATGTTTGGCTTTTATCACAGGACACAATGTTTTTTGAGGTTCCTCCACGTTTTAGCATGTGTATTTCATTCCTTTTCATTGCTGAATAATTTTCCATTATTTGGATTTACTATGCTTTGTTTACTTACCAATTAATAGACTATTAGTTTCCTAGGGCTGCTGAAACAAATTACACAGACTGGGTGGCTCATCACAACAGAAATGTATTCTCTCACAGTTCTGGAGTCCGGAAGTCTGAAATCAAGAGATCAGCGGGGTCATATGCTCCAAAGGCCCTAGAAGAAGGACCTTCTTTGTCTCTTCCAGCCCCTAATGGCTGCCAGCGATCCTTGACACACTCCTTGGCTCACGGATGTATTGCTTCAATTTCTACTTCCATTTTCACAGGGCTTCTCCCTGATGGGTGTCTCTGCATAGATTTCTTTCTTCTTAGAAGGACACCAGTCATATTTGAGTTGGTCACCCCAAGCCAGTATGATTCCACCTTAGCTTGCATATGTAAAGACTCTATTTCCTAATAAAGTCACAGTCAGAGGTTCTAGGTTAGACACGAATTTTGGGGAGGGTGCTACTCAACCCTGTACATGGACATCTGGATCATTTCCACTTTTTGGCTACAGTGAATAACGCTGCTATAAGCATTCATGTACAAGTCTTTGTACAGATGTATGTTTTCATTTCTCTTGGGTAGACACCAACTAGTAGAACTATTGGGTAATAATTGAAGTCTATCTGTAACCTTTTCAGAAAATGCTAAACTGTTTCCAAAGCAACTACACCATGGAAACCACCCCCACTGTTTTTATTTTTTTTAATTTAGGATCCTTGTTTACCTTTCATCTCATCAATGTCAACCTCCTGCATTCCTTTATTTCCCTGCTCACACTTCAGCTTGTTATCATTTATTTGGTCATTTATTCACTCATTCGTTCATCCTTTTAGCCAATCAACATTTACTTAAGTGCGTCTCTACTCAAAGTCCTCTGAAAGACACTAGGAAGGGAGATAATGAGACATTAGGCTTACCTTCCAGGAATTCATAATATATACGGGGAGATAGATATATATGTAAATAATTAAAATATATAAAGTGGCAGAATAGTGATATGTTCAAAGGCCATCACAAAACTGAAATGCCATCTAATGGCATTAGAGAAGGGGAGGAGTGTTCACTGGAGCCCTGTGGATGGAGAGGGTGGAGCCCAAATTAGTAGCAGTTCCTAGAAGTGGGGTGAATGGATGGATGTGCTAAGCTAAACACTCACAGATGTACTACCACTTTCATATTAAAAAAATCTTTATTGTTCTTAGATTTCTCTATTTTTCATGGCACTCTACTCATATTTTATTCTTATATCTCGTTGAGAACATAATTTTTTTTAAAAGTTACTTTAAGTTCCCTAATTCATTCTACTCTTATATAAAATATCTGTATGATTTTTCAGTTTGGGGTTTAATTTTTCACTTCTATGAGATAATGATTTTTGTCACACTTCCAGGAGTTTTTCACTCCTTGCTCATTCATATCAATGTAGCTCACAACTGTCCATATTAACAGTTACATTAATTTACTTATTAGTTGATTTGCCACTCACATCAGATCGTTAGGCTGCAGGTAAAGAGTTTCCTTAACAGAAAGTTCCCATAAACAGGGTAGGTGGTGTATTTGTTTCCTATTCCTGCTGTAAAAAATTACCACATACTTAGTGGTTTAAAACAACACAAGCATATTATCTTATAGTTTCGGAGGTCAGAAGACTGAAATGGGTTTCATAAGACTAAAATAAAGACACGAGCAGGGCTGTGTTCCTTTTGAGGTCTCTAAGGGAATCTGCTTCCTGATTTTTCCAGCTTCTAGAGGCCACCCACATTCCTTGGCACGACATCTTCAAAGCTCTCTGTGGCCTTCTGCTTCCCTCTTCCACATTTAAAGCACCCCTGTGATTGATTACACTGGACCCATCCAAATAATCCAGGATATTTTAAAGTCAGATGATTATTTTACCTTAATTCCACTTGCAACCTTAATTCTCCCATGCCATGTAACATAACATATGCACAGTTTCTAGGGATTATAATTTGGGAATCTTTAGTGGGGTGGAGGAAGGGGAGATTATTCTGTTTTACCTACAGGTAGCTTTAAAGTTTGGTGGCCAGGCAGGTCTTCCCTGTATAGCCCTGCAGACAGGTTTCCTCTGGGTATGGCAGGTAGTTCTGGAAGTCTGAGAACCTGATTAGGCTTCTCTTGCACTCGGGTTCAAGCTCTGCTCCCTCTGAACAAGTACACAGCAGGTGAGCAGAGGTGACTGGCTCCCCAGAGATGGCTCTAGGATTTACAAGGCTGGCAGGGATTTCCCCCACTTCCCCTCACCCCACTTCATTCTACAAGAGATGTGGGCAAGTCTGAGGTTCTCCGGTTTCTCCACTGCAATATAGGGAAGGTTCAATAGAAGGAAAGCAACCAGGCTGGAGGTCTCCCCCACATCTCTTCCAAATTTTCCTGCTGTTTTGGAAACTCAAGCCTGAAGATGTTAATGTGCACCTCTCTGATTTTCCAGTGGAGGAACAAAGCTTTCTTTTTTCATTTGATGAGTTGTGTTGGCAGGAAGCTGTGAGAATGCAAGGGTCAAATTTGTGTTTCATTCAGCATCTTGGTTCCATTCTCCTCCCTGCCTCTACTTACCTCCCCAGCACTATTCTTAAGTAGGTTAAAAATGGGATGGGCCAAAAGGACAGACGCCTCATGGTTCTACTTGTACGGGATAGAGTGGTCGGATTCAAGGAATCAGAGCGGAGGATGGTCGCCAGGGGCTGGGAGGAGGAGGAAATGGGAAGTTACTGATGAAGGTACCTAAAGTTTTGGTTGAGCAAGATAGATAAGTTCTGGAGACTAGCTATATGACACTGTACCCATAGTCAACAATACTGTGTTGTACACTTAAAATTTTGTTAAGAGCAAAGACTTCATCTTTGGTGTTCTTACCACAATAAAATAAAAATTCTTTAAAAGTTAAGTAGTGAAATCTAGTTTTAAAAATGAAAAAAATGTCAAGACTACCCCAAATAAACATATTTTTAAATTGGAAAAAAAAACCCCAAACCTCTTTAATTTACAATTCTTTACCCCAAACCCCAAACAAACCAGGTTTAATTAAGCACAGCTTTTAAAGGAACATATCCATTGTGTAAAGCAGATGCCTGGCTTCACGCCCCTCCCCCCAAATTCTAATTTAGTAGATGAGGGTTGGGGGGGGGAACCTAGGAATTTATATTTCAAAAAATCTTCAGGTATGATTCTGATGCACAGCCACACACACAAAATCGTTGATTTAAAGTTAGGCACACTGACATTTTGAATTTACGTCAAGAAATAAAGTAAAAGCCCACAGATCCCTGCAAAATGTAACTCTAAAATAAAGAATTGGGGCTCCTGGGTGGCTCAGTCAGTTGAGTGCCTGACTTCAGCTCAGGTCATGGTCTAGCAGTTCGAGAGTTTGGGCCCCTGCATCGGGCTCTGTGCTAACAAACAGCTCAGAGCCTGGAGCCTGCTTCAGATTCTGTACCTCTCTCTCTCTCTCCCTCCCCTGCTCATGCTCTGCCACTCTCTGTCTCTCAAAAATAAATAAATGTTAAAAAAAATATTTAAAGAATTAAAAGGCTGAGTTTGATACTAATAGAGGAAAAAGTCGTACATAAATATAGTAAAATATTCACTAAGCAAAGCACACAAATGTCTAATCGCTATGGTGTACACCTGAAACTAATATAATATTGTATGTCAATTATACCTCAATTAAAAAAAAAAAAAAAGAAATATAACCAAATGCATGAAGAATCTAGAATTAGCTCCTGACTTCGCCATTCTGGGCCAAGCTAGTTCTGTTTCCCTCCGCCCAGCCCAATGCAAACGGTTAAGTGTAGTGTGGCAGGGAGAAGAGTATTTAGAGTAAGAAGCTAAAAATTGAGGGAAGGAGGTTTTGCAAGAGCCCTTCACACCTGGTTAGTAGTTTTCAGTTTAAAAAGCACTGTCACGGATATTGCCTCATTGATCCCCACAACAAAACCGGCAGGTCAGCCGGAAAGGTGTGGAGGCAGCCCACGTTCACTGCCTAGGGAGCCACAGCGCTGAAACGGGTCTGCACACTGTTGTATTTCCACCGGCCTTTTCTCAATTGCACAGTGGCATCTACAGCGGGACTGGGCGGATGCTTTTACGGACTCCCCGGAGGGCTCTCGCCCCGGGGCTCAGTACCTGGGCTGCAGCCACCTCGTAGCCGTCTGGGTTCATGGACGGCATGATGTGCACGCGCGTGCCCTCCACAAGCCGCACGATGCGCTGGTTCCCGTTCCGGAACTCCTCGCACAGGAACTCCGCCAGCTGCAGCAGCAACTCGCGGCCCAGCACCTCGTTGCCGTGCATGTTCCCCACGTACTTGACTTCCGGTTCCACTGCAGGCGCGACAAGAACACGCGAGAAGAGAGAGGATGGGGAAAGTTTGCAAGTGGCAAGGATTCCTAACGTTGCACAGGGACCTTTTCCCTCTCTTCGCGTAATGAACACATGAAAATCTTATGCTTCCATTGGGTCTTTTCCAGTGATTCCCGAGGCCCTTTTGAACAAATTACAATCATAAATGCTACAAAAATCCATGCCATGGAGCCCCTTCTGTGTTCATTACTCCTAATCTTCACAGAAAACCTGTGAAGTAGGCATCATTAGCTCCAGAATGAGGGAGGTGTGGAAGCAGCTGAGTAACCTGTTGGAGGTCACCTAGTTATTTAATAAGATGGAGGCCAAAGCCCAGGTGCATTCACAGTAGCCTGGTGCTTCTCAGAAACAAGTCTTTTCAGGTTAAGAATGGTGTTTTCACAAGAAAGCAGGCTTTCCCTACTTGGGTTATGGCATAACAGTTCCTAATCATCCCAGTTGAAAACTTAATTTTACAAATTTAAGTCAGATCATGTCACTCTTCTGCTTAAAACCCTCCAGTGGCTTCTCACTTCACTCTAAAAGCCAAAATCTTTACACAGGCTTATAAGGCACTACCTGATCTCCTGCCTAGGAGCCCTATCCCCAACCATACTGCCCTGACCTTGCTTTCCCATCGTTCACTCCGCTGGAGCCACAGAGGGCTTCCTTGCACTCACACACACCAAGCACACTCCTGTTCTTTCCTGTCTGCAAAGACTTTCCAGTTACAGCGTGGCATGCTCCATCACATGCTCAAAACTCACCTCGAAAAAGAAGCTTTTCCTAAACAGCAACAACCCCCTCCTGCTTATGGCATTCTCTATCTCTCTTTTAAAGGTTATTTTTTCTCTATAGCACTTTTTTTCATCTGACTTAATATGTATTTACTTAGTTACCCATTTGTTGCCAGTCTTACATGGCTAAAATTAAGGCCCCTGAGGGAGGTGTCTTTGTTTTATCCTGTTTGTTGTCTATTCAGAGTCTACAAAATAGACAATCAGTAATTGATAATCAGTACTAGATAATCAGTAATATTTGTGGAATGAATGATGAATGCATGAAAGGAATGAATGGATTAACAGCTAAATTATAGGGCATCAGAGAAAAGAGAGATTAGTGAGGGCTGGAATAGTATGAAAGAGCTTCAAGAAGGCCTTGAATGCATGGAGTGAGGGGCTAGCCCTAAAACTAGTACCCACAAGCTTCCGCAATGAACACACACCCCAAAAAACATGGTGCTTTCTATGCAAGTGTGGCTTCAAAGCAAAGTCCTTATCCTCATTTAATGACATAGACTTCCTTGAGCCAGTGCCCCCCCTCCCATACCCTCCTCACTGGCCATGTAACATTCTAAAGCTGTCACAGACAGGATCCATTGAGTGTGAGGTTGCCACTAAAGGATTTTAAGCAGGGGAGTGAGAAGATTAAATATTTGGGAAAAGTATTCTGGCATCTGTGTGCTGAAGGGAAGTTTTAGAGAGTGGTGGCAGGTAGGGGTTGAAAGAGTCAGGAACCTAGTGTGATGATATAGGCAGGTTGCAATGATGTTTGGCTGGTGTGGGTGGTGTGGAAGTGGAAAGGATGAGAGAGATTTGAAACTGACAGTGTTTAGGAGGAACAGACATAACTTGGATGTCACAACTGCTCTAAGTCAAGCTATGAGAAATTAGACACAACTTCAATGCCCATCATTCAATGAACAGTTAAATACAACCATGCAATGAATATTATGCAGCCAAAATTATGATGAAGATGTACATTTACAGATATGGATATTACTTATAAAAGACTATGAAATGAGAAAAGCTGTTCTATTATGATTCCATTTTTATAAAAAATATGTGTATGTGTGGGGGGGGTTGTTAAACATGCATACAAAAAAGTCTGGAAGGATATGCATCGATATGTTAACAATGATCATCTGTGAGTGGTGGGATTATGGCGTGAGCTTTTTTGTTTGTTTGTTTCCATATCTAATTTCTATTTTAATCTAAATACAGGTTGCTTTTATAATAGAAACAAACTAACAAAAAGTAATGCAGTGCATAAAACCAATTCCCAAGACCTCAAACTATCTCCAGGATCCCATACGTATCATACTGTCATTCCCCAAAGAGAATGATAAACCCAAACCCTTTGAGGCTTCCTGACAGAACTAGAAGAGCTGATTGTTTCTGCTTATGTCTCCTGAAGCACTGGTTAAAGACAGCATAACAGCAAGGAAGAAAGAAGGGTAATGGGAGGGAAGGCAGGGGGGCTGGGATGGGAGGAGGGAAGAAGACTCACCTTTTAGCATTAAGGTCTTGAGCAAACAGAACCTCCAAAGGAGGAACAGACTAGAGCCTGAATTGGGGTTGTAGCTCCCCAGAGGCAGGAGCAATCTGAGGGCTAAGTGGGGAAATATTTAGCACAGATGGAGGAAGAGGTGATACTTTATAGGTGGAGGGGTCCATGGACTTCCCCAGAAAACAGCCCCAATTACTGGATTTGTCAGGGAAGGGTCCTGTCCCATACACTCCAAGAACTGCTCAGGGCTTACAGGGCTCGTGGATTCCAGGGTAGTCGCTGAATTCCAGCACGTAGAGGTGTCTCCCCTTCACACTGCGCCCGATGCTGTAAACCCGCGTGATGTAGGGGCATTCGTTGTGCACCTTGTACAGCGTCCGCACAAGGTCATCATAGCGGTGGTGGCGAAAGGTCACTGGGGCAACCAACTTGAAGAGAAAGAGGAGGTGGAAGAAGACTGAGAGCAGGCCTGACATCTTGACAGGCTTTTTCAAAGAGACCCACTAAAATGGGCTCCACCTCCCAACAACCAGTCAAAATCCAAGGGCCAAGAACCAGCTCTTCCTAGTTTCCCGCCAGTAAACACCAGTGCCACAACACCTGGCAAGGAAGTTCAGAATTGTCCCGTTCAACGCTGGAAATTATTTATGTAGCTCTGGGATAGCCACTCATCTCTCCTCCCCCATCTCTCTGATTTTCCTAATCCAGGGAAACCTTTTGAAAGGCTTTTGTACTCCCCCAGATTGGGTAGTTTCACTGATTCTGGCTTACTGATTAACTGGACTGTAAACAGGCTTCAATAAATAGTTGCTTATAACCCTTTGATTCCCAGAGAATTTTGAGAAACTTGGCTTGTGCTTATTCCCTGTATTACAATTTAAGGAGATGTATTAATTAGAATTCTCTGTCCATTTCGATCAATCCCACACACTGCTGCCAGACTCTTTCTGGAGCACGGCTCTGTCTTGTCTCCTTGCTCCTCAAAAATCTTTCAACAGTTGCCATTGAGAAAATGGAAAGATGAGCCACAGGCCGGGAGAAAAATAACTGCAATTCACAAATCTGACAATATATCCAGAATACATCAAGAACTCTTACAACACAATAATAAAGCAACTCAATTCAAAAATGGGCAGAAGATTTGAATAGACATTTCATCAAAGTAGATATATGAACAGCTAATACACATGCACATTTAACGATCTTCGCCATTATTGGTCACAAGGAAATACAACACAATGAGATATCACTTCACATCCACTAGAATGGCTATAATCAAAAAGTCACAATAACAAGTGTTGGTGAGAATAGGGAGAAACTGGGACCCTCGTATGGGAAAATAAATGTTGCAGCCACCTTGGAAAACAGTTTTGCAGTTACCTAGAAGGTTAAGTTTATACTTACTGTATGACCCAGTAATTTCACTTCTACGTATCTACCCAAGAGAAATGAAAACATACATCCACACAAAATGTGTACATGAATGTTCATTGCAGTATTATTTAAAATAGACAAAAAGTGGAAACAATTCAAATGTCCATTCACTGGTGAACGGATAAACAAAATATGGAACATCCAAAAAATGAAATATCATTTGACAATAAAAAGGAATAAAGTACTGGCATATTGTATAACATGGATGAACCTTAAAAGCATTATGCGTGGTGAAAGAAGTCAGACACAAAAGACCAGATATTATATGACCCAATTGACATGAAATGTTTATGAAAGGCAAATGTATACTAAATAAAAGGTTGCATAGAGCTGGGAGTGGAAATGTAGAATGACTATAAGTGGGCAGATGGTTTCTTTTTAAGATGTTAGAAGTGTTCCAAGATTAGATTGTACAACTCCGTAAATCTACTAAAATTCACTGAATTGTATACTTAAAGCAGGTGAATTTTATGGTATACAAGTTATATCTCACCAAAGCTGCTTTTTTTAAAAAAAGAAAAAGAATGAAGTACAGTCCCTCCCCCCAAAGTTAACTATAAATTTACTATATAACCTAACAACTCCACTCTGGGCACCTATGCAAGAGAACAAGAATGTTCATAAGAATGCACATAAGAATGTTCATAGCAGTCTTGGGGCACCTGGGTGGCTCAGTCGGTTAAGCGTCCGACTTCGGCTCAGGTCATGATCTCACAGTTTGTGAGTTTGAGCTCTGCGTCGGGCTCTGTGCTGACAGCTCAGGGCCTGGAGCCTGCTTCGGATTCTGTGTCTCCTCCTCTCTCTGCCCCTCCCATGCTCATGCTCTGTCTCTCTTTGTCTCTTAATAATAAATAAATGTTTTTTTTTTTTAAAAGAATGTTCAGGGGCGCCTGGGTGGCGCAGTCGGTTAAGCGTCCGACTTCAGCCAGGTCACGATCTCGCGGTCCGGGAGTTCGAGCCCCGCGTCAGGCTCTGGGCTGATGGCTCAGAGCCTGGAGCCTGTTTCCGATTCTGTGTCTCCCTCTCTCTCTGCCCGTCCCCCGTTCATGCTCTGTCTCTCTCTGTCCCAAAAATAAACGCTGAAAAAAAAAAAAAAAAAAAAGAATGTTCATAGCAGTCTTAATCATAATAGCCAAAAAGGTTGAAACTACCCACATGTGCATTAACCGGTAAATAGATAAATCAAATGTGGTATAACCATATAACTGAATACTTCAACATGGATGGACTCCAAAACCACTATGCTAGACAAAAGAAGCCAACATGAAAAACCACATATTAAATTATTCCACCTATAGGAATTGTCATACAAAAGTAAACCTACAGAGATAGAAATCAAAATAGCAATTGCCTGGGGCTGGAGATGGGAATGGGGATTTACTGTAAATAGGCATGAGGAATCTAGCTGGAGCAATGAGGATGCTCTAAAACTGGATCATAGCAATGATTGCACAATTCATTGAATTGTACACTTAAAATGAGTGAATTTTATGGTATATAAATTACACCTGTTTTCCAAGAACAAAGTTTCAGTAGATCTTCATGTGCTGCAGTGTTAAAATCCAGAGGCCTCAGCCTGGTCCTCAAGGCCTTCCTACATGGTCCAGGTGTGACTTGTCATCCAGACTCAGTACACCACACACTGTCTTCTGAGCATGCCCTCTTCACCTGCCTTCCTGCTTTTGCTTGAGCTGTTTCCCCAGGTGCCTCGGCCCAGCTCTCAATCCTGGGTCTTCCTCACCTCCCCTTGCAATTGCTACTACAATCAGTCTTTGTATTTCCAATTCTTATTGTTTTGCCTATTAATGTACTTACCTACTATGTGCCTGGTGGGTGTTAGGATATAGTGCAGGCTCACTGACACCCTGGTCCTGTCATCTCGGATGGCCGACAGCCTCCAGCACAGAGCCTGGCATAGATGCACTCTTGTTAAATGAATGAACGAACAAACCCATTAATGATGTTTCATCTTGCATCCTTTTGCTCTATCTCTAGCAAACTTTCCCAAGGAAGTCCAATGCTTTTATAACCTGTCAGTAAAGACCACTATTCCCTCTTAGATATATCGGGTGAACACTGTATAGCCAGGCCAACCTGGCCCACAAATGGTCCAGAGGGTTGACCCTAGATAAGCACCAAATTCATAGTGGCATAGGGCTGCCGCCTTACGCCCATTACTAAAATCCCATGGTATCTGATAAGATCCGGACACCCCAGGTGGTGAATCAAGAGAGAAGGCTGCGAAGGCATTACGGATGCTGTCACACATTAGGCCTTTTTTCCAGGACAATAACTACTGTGACAACTGAAGGCTTGGCTTAGTGGCCCTCAGATAAGCCCAAATTGTTCCTCGTAGAAGAATTCCCCTTTCTCTGGCAAATGTGCCTATAGTTCTTAGGGGACCTCACTCATGCTACACAGATGACTCCTCTTCTCTAGGAGAGGGATGTACCCTCCCTGCCTGTTTGAACTTTGGGTTGTTGTAAACAGGGAACCCTCTATATATCAGAGCTGAGGTTGGCACTTCTCTGGGATTCTACTTTAAGCACCGGAACACATGTCCTAAAGCCAGAATGCATGCAATGCCTCTCAAAACAACTAGAAGTGGAAGGAGTCTGAGTGTCAGAGGGATATGATATTAAAAAAAAATTTTTCCAGCTTTAATGAGATATAATTAACATAACATTGTGTACATTTAAGGTATACAATGTGATGATTCGATACATGTATATGTTGCAAAATGATTACCACGATAGGGTCAGTTAACACTTCTATCACCTCACTTATCTTAGTGTGTGTGTGTGTGTGTGTGTGTGTGTGTGTGTGTGTGTGTGTTTGTATGTGTGTGCATATGGCGAGAATATTTAAGATCTACTCTCTTTTCAAGTATATAATAGAGTATTGTTAACTACAGTTACTGTGCTGTACATAAGATCTCCTGAACTTATTCATCTTACAGCTGGGAGTTTGTATCCTTTGACCAACATCTCATTTCATCCACTCCCCAACCCCTAGCAACCACCATTCTGTTTCTATGAGCTTGGCTTTTTTAGATTCCACATATAAGTGAGATCATACAGTATTTGTCTTTGACTTATTTCACTTAGCATAATGCATAAGGATATGATTTTAAGTAAAGTTCAACCCCCTCTTAGGTCATTTGACCTTGGGCAAATTAATTAATTTCTCTAAATTTCAATTTCCTTCTGTATAGGATGGAGAAGAAACAGGTCCTTCCTCATGAGTTGGGTGGATCAGATAACACACGTAAGGCCTTTTGCACAGTGCCTGGCACACAGTAAGGGCTCCATACATATGATTAGCAGATTAATAGTAGTAGCAGCAGCATTAAGCAATTATTCTGTGCTCAAGACCATGCTGGATGATGGCATACAATTCATTCATTCAACAAATACATACATAAGGCCTTTACCATTAAAGGCTAATGGCTTTACTTATTATTTTTGATATAGAATAAACCCCAGCAAAGACCCCTGCTCATGTGATGCTTACATTCTAGTGACGTGACAATCAATAGTGGAAAAGGCAGTCCCTGTCCTCAAAGCTATGGCTGAACAAACACAACACTGCGGGGGACATGATGTATGTATTCACTTGGGACCACTGAGCTGGGTCACGGAACAGCTTTGCTGGGTTTGGGAGAGTATGTGGGCACTGAATTAGATCAGAAGGTCCTGTCTCCCACTGTGGCAGGTATAATAATAGGCCCCCCAAAATGTCCACATTCTAATCCCTAGAAGCTGGGAGTATGTGATGTTACACGGCAAGGCACAAAGAAGTTTGCAGATGGAATTATGGCTGCTTATCAGCTAATCTTGAGATAGAAGGATTACCTGGCCCAGCCCTGCGTGATCACAAGGTTCCTCAAGAGTGAAAGACGAAGGCAGGAGGGTCAGAGCCACAGTGATGAGATGTGAGAAAGAGGGCAGATTTTAGGCACTTCCTCTTTCCTGGGTTCTCAGTATCCTCACAGTTACCCCCTGCCTGGTCCAAGAAATCTCCACTACTTCACAATCTACAT